TATTAGTTAGGTCATGCCAAGCTGCAGTAACACATTCATCCTAATATTTTAATGATTAAAGAACAATGTATTTGTTTATCTCTCATATAGCAGTCCAGGGTAGGTTTGGGGTTGGTTGAATGACCCTTTTCCATTATCAGAAAAGAATTCAAACTCGGGATTACTTTGTCACTATCAATGTGTCCTCAGGGCATCTATCGCAGTCAGCCAAAGGGAAAAGAACACAGAGAAGCATGGGAACACTCCTGAGTTAGTCCACTCCTAAAAGTGCACACACCCTTTCCTCTCACACTCCACTAGTTGTGGCTCAGCAACAAGGCCACACCACACTACATGAGATGCAGGGCTAGCCACACAGTTGACCTTTCCATTGTAATAGAGAAGTAGAACGGATTTTGGTGGACAGCGGGGAGTTTCTATCCCAGATACGGAACATCAATGATTTGGAGGAATAAAGAAGATGAGGAATGGCTTTGCCCAGGCAGGAAAAACAGTAAGTATAACCAGGCTATTAAACCTAGCCAGGACTCCATTTCTTTAGCTGATAAAGAAAACTTATTCTAAATGTTTTCTAAAATTGTTTCTGGCTTTTAAATTTCTGTGCTTCTGAGAGCTAACATTCTGTGGGTATTGTGTTCAGCTGAAGCAAGGTGCTCATGTTTGAAATGGTGCAAGATAACTCTTATGATATGGATAGAGTGGCTCTTGAATAATCAATGTATTTCACGGGAGATTTTTTTTAAAAAAATCAACAGATATTGATCAAGTACCTACTTGTGATGGTTAATTTTACGTGTCAACTTGACTGGGTGAGAGGATACCCATATAGCTGGTAAAACATTATTTCTAGGGGTGTGCGGGTGTTTCTGGAAGAGATTAGCATTTAAATCAGTAGACTGAGTAGAGAAGATCCACCCTCAGCAATATGAGTAGGCACCATCCTGTCTAGTGCGGGCTTGGATAGAACACAAAGGTGAAGGAACTGTGAGTTTGCTCTCATTCTCTTGCTGAGCTGGGACATCCATATTCTCCTGCCCTTGCACATTGGAACTCGTAGTCTCAGGCCTTTGACCTTGAACCATGAACTTTCCCAGTTCTCCAGCTTGCAGAGGGCATATGATTGAACATCTTAGCCTCCTAATAGTGTGGGCCAATTCTCTCCATGTATGAGGATAATACATCTTCTCGTACATTTTTCTACATACCATATTGGTTTCATTTCTCTGGAGAACCCTGACTAACATACTATTTACATACCATACACTTTAAGAGGTGCTGTGGAGGACACAAAAGAGTTAACTCATTATTTTAGATAATAGATTAAGTACTACAGATGCACCTCAACTTATCACGGGGTTGTGTCCTGATAAACCCCTTGTACATTGAAAATCCTAAATTAAAAATGTGCTTAACACACTTAATCTACCAATCATCATAGCTCAGCCTAGCCTACCTTAAATGTGCTTAGACACTTACATCGGCCTATAATTGGGTAAAATAATCGAATTCAAAGCCTATTTTATAATAATGTCGTGAATATTTCATGTAATTTATTGAACACTTTACTGAAAGTGAAAAACAGAGTAGTTGTGTGAGTACTCAAAATGCTGTTTCTACTGAATGCATATGGCTGTTGCACCATCATAAAGTCAAAAAATTGTAAGTTGAACCATTGTATATCAGGGACTGTCTGTATTTATGGGACAGCTGAGTTGAATGAAGAGAAGGGAAATTTAACAATGAAACAGAATGGGATATGTTCCCAGGATTCCAGACCTCACAATACAGGGTAGGAGATTGGGGTGAAGATGAAATGATCTTTGAGTATCATCTAATGACTTTTCTGAAGAAAAAAGAATCTATAATGTGAACTTTTTTCCCCCTGATTTGTCTCTTGCAATTGGCAATATTAAATTGTCATTCATTGAGAGTTCTGATTAATCAACATTGAGTTAACTTTGGTTTCACTGCAAGGAAGAATGCACGACTCCATCCTCTGTATTTTATGGGCCAGTTAATTAATTTAAAATTCTTCATGAGGTGAAATCAAACCTTTAGGCAATCAAGGCATTCCCCAAAATACACCAATTCCTATGAAAATAAATTCTCAGGTGCCATAATCACCAGAAAACTGCCCAATGTAGTCTTCCACTGTTGTTAATTCTTAGCCAGTCATATTGCTAATGTATTCCAGGACTCTTATCTTTGGATATAAGGATTTAACCTGACTTAATTTGGATTTATCCTGACTTTCTTTTCTGTAGTTTGAGTTTCTAAAAGATTTGTGATCATAGATAAATTATTATCCTAAATATTTTAGGGGGAGGTTATTTCCACTGTTTTCAGGTTCAGTTTTGGCTACTGGGTCCTGTCTTGTTATAAACTCATTGCAATTATTTTTGTTGTCTTGAATACCTGCTTCAGTTTACCTTTCTTTTGTAACACAGGACCTGGGACTAGGAGTCAGGAGAAATGCATTTCAGGTGGGTTTGCCATTTACTAGTGGGCACATCATTACCCTCATAGGGACTTGCGTTTTCTTGTCTGTCAAATAAGAGGATTAAGAAGGTAGTGTAGGTGGCACTGTCTTTGAAATATTACTCCTCTATATGTTAATATGTCTATACATTTAAAAGTTCTGTCACTTTAATTTTTAAACAGTTTGTGACCGAGGGCAAAATTAGCTTCCATGAATGTCCTTTTCCTCAATAGCAGTACTAAAAGGCACAAAACGGTTTTGTAGAAATGTGTGTATTTGCATGCTTAAGTGGGCTCTGATTTATATTGTGCCAAGTACCATTATTGACAATTAGGTATGCTTTGCAATGAAATTTTGACTTAGAAATATATGTGGCATATATTCTACTCCAATTTAAAAACAAGCTTATGGGAAACTTTAAAAAAATTCTACAAACCTTGCTAACATCTAAGAACTGTATAAATCGATTTATAGGGTTTTTTTTTTTCTAGCATAGAAATAATGTTCACATCTCTCAACTTTTGAACATCCAATAGTTTTAAACCTCGTTATTTCATGTCAAAACAATAATAATCATAATGGCAGCTCACAAGTAGAGAGTTCTTTCTTACTAGATGCCATGCTATGTACAAAATGTTTTATGTAAGTTATCCTTTCGCCCTGCTTTAAAATCTCCACAGCCAAGCTGCCTATTTAATATGTATCTAA